TACTCATTATTGCAGGCCAGGCAACGTATTGAATAGATCACCCCTGCCCTCATGCAATCACCTGGGTTGCCACCTGGGCAAACCACGCAGTCAGGGGTTTCGCATAGGTAGTCGTAAAGCCTGTTGCGGACCAGAAGACGTTTCAAGTTATTGGGAGGTATCTCTACAAGCCTGACATCCTCTTGCAAACCACATTTGTGGAGATTTGCCCGAATCATCCGACTCACTTCGTCCGAAATGAACGTAGGCAGAAAGGTACCTTGTTAGAGGATGTTTCATTGGAAACCCTGCATTGTTCGAAATACCCCCTACGTATTGATCGCGACACAGGATACCCATTCGATATCGCAATGCTCCGAGCCATATTACGCGATTCCTTTTTCAATGCGTTATTGGAGGAGACCCTGCTGGCAGTCTTGAACATGTTGCTAACTACCGCCCGTTTCGTTGCCGTAGGGTGTGCGGAACGGTAGTGCACTAGAATGTTTTTGTTACTAGGCTTACGATACCATTTAGTTTCAATGGTATCTCCCCTCAGTTGGATTTGCACATTGAGAAATGGGAGCCAGTTCTCCACAGGATTTTCTCTTGTAAACTTGATATTTATCGACTGCTCATTTAGGAGATCGAAACACATGTTGATTTCGTCTTGCGTGTGACATATAATGAGACAGTCATCAATATAGCGACAATAGAAGAACTGGTCTGCAATCCAACACGGGTTTTTCGATTCTGGACATAAAGACTATGGCCAAACAGGGGCGAGCCGTTGGCCCATGGCCAGACCTCTCAACTGTCTGTAATAATCACCCGACCACCTGAAGATGGAGCACTTTAGACACTCCTCCAAGATCACCATAATTTGTGAAATGGTGAAACCGAAAAGGTTGAGGGTACGCTGGTGCTCACATAGCAATTCGTACGTGGCCTCCATTGCGGCATCATTTGATACGTTGGTGTAAAGTGATGTTACATCAAATGATTCTATCACACAACCTTCTCTCAGGTCGATGTTGGTTAACTTATCGAGAAGCATACCCGTATTGGTCAGGTGGGCGGGGATGTACTGAAGCAATTGACCCAGAATTAAATTAAGGAACCACGAAATTTTATCAGTGGGCCCTCCGATGTTGCTTATAATGGGTCTGACTTTGAAGACGGTTGGATCGTCTGAACCCATTTGGGAGTGGCCGAGCTTATGGGTTTTGATCAAAACGTACAATACTGGACAGGATGGCAGATCACACTTGATGCGATTGATTGTGGTGCCAGGCAGGCCTGCACTCTTCGCAACAGTACTCCAGACTTTGTTGAGTCTCCGGTACTGCCTACTGAATTCTTTTTCTGTTGACCTGCAATACAATGTGTTGTCTTTGAGATGCAAACTTGTAATGGCTTTGTCTAGCCTCTTGGGAAAGCACCACGAATTCTCCTCCTTTGTCACTAACTGACAACCTGACACTGCCATCTTTCAAACGATCCCGTATTTCTTTGATGCCACGTCTCTGTGATGGAGTGAGATTAGAGTTTACGTGTTTGTTGACATATTGCCGCACTACTCTATAAACAGGACGTTGCAAATAGCCTGAATTTGGTGTCCACAATAGGCTCACTTTCTTGTGGCTTGTAAAATGTTTGCGGGAACGGTAGAGCAGGGATGTTGCCGTCTGGTCTTTCTGCCGTCCGCTGTCCCCCGCCGCATCGCATTGGCCCTGTATCGTAGGCGATCGTGAAGCAGCTGCAGGTTGCCAACAATTTTGCGCACTACGTTTTGATTTATGTTTTGAACTGGAGCGAAGCTAGGGCCCAGCTCTAATAGCGACAACGCATCACTAGAAAGGGGAATGTCGCCAATAACCGTGACTCGAGAGGTAAGGAGGTGCTCACTACCGTTGTTAACTTGAGGTACGACTTCGTCACTAAGGTTACCAGTAGTCATATCTTGTGATCTACGACACCGCTGTTGGTCTACCAATCTATCGAACTTTTCTTTCAGTCTTGTCTTAGCCTTAGAGCGGACAGAATCACAAATGTTTTTTGACTCACCCACTACTCTCTGCCAAAGGCGTTCCGGTACAATTCGTTCACAACACATCTCCTTAGCTACACACTTCTTCAAACATGAATACATTTGATCGCGTTTTGTCTTCAATGCCGTACGTAGAAGTTGTTGTTCGATTGCACGTATTCGTCTGGAATCCTTCGGCACACCGCACGTCTCATACAGTCGCTTGTTGGTGATAAAGCTTGGTGTCAGACGATAGTGTAGACAGCGGCGTAGGAAGTGGATGGTCTGTCTCATTGCAACGATCTTCTGGCGCAGAGACAGAACTTCTTTCACTAGTCGAAAACAGTTGGCTGGTACGAGCTGTAGAATCGTCCAGGATCGACTTTCTTTTAATCTTGGCATTGTTGGATCAGATGAGTACTTGACTGTAGCCGTCCAAGATTAGGTAACTTTATTAGGCTAACGTTTCGGCTTCTTCGCCTTCGTCAGAGCCTGAAAAAGTCAAAAACAAATGTGACTTGACCGCTCAAACGCCTCCACAATACTGAAGACAATTTCCATATCTTAGTAAACCACCTAACGGTATCGATCGATAAAGATATGCTACTAGGCCTACCTTGATCAACGCCGCCGTGACGCGAGGGCGACCACCCTCGAAGGACTTAGCTTGTGCTTACTGAACACCACCACCTCCACCCTCTCGACCTCAACCTCGACCTGACCTCATGTAGATCAAAACCCGCAGAGGTCGGAGAAGGGCGCTAGTTCACGGGTAATGGCTAAACACTCGTCCTTTCTATTGATTTGAGGGTCTCTTGCCGAAATCCAAAACGCCTCCAGGGTTTTTCGCGCCGCGATTTCGGGTTCATGCGCCAGAATGGACACTGTGATCCCGAAATCAACATTCTCATGGTATTGCATGCGGTGAACTCCAAGCGGCGTCTGATGAATTTGTGATCTTCGCAAACCCGTCCAAGTGCTCCTTCACCCGTACACGCAGAGGACGGCCTGTTTCCCCTATGTACTCGCTATTGCAGGCCAGACAAACGTATTGAATAGATCACCCCTGCCCTCATGCAATCACCTGGGTTGCCACCTGGGCAAACCACGCAGCCAGGGGTGTTCGCATAGGTAGTCGTAAAGCCTGTTGCGGACCAGAAGACGTTTCAAGTTATTATTGGGACGTAATAACTTCGTATAGCATACATTAATATGTCTGTGTTACTAAAGAGCAGTTCATCAGGATCCTCCGCTCGTACGGCGCTCCAAGAATTCAAAAGATTCTAAAGAGGTTTACTTATAGCTGGAAAAATCAGTTGCGAACCACTCCTAGTTGCAGTGGAGCCAGGTCAAACCGATTGATATAAAGTATTAACGTAATAAGGCGCACGAGGAATACAGGGTAATGTGATACCAGCCACAAGCTCGGCATTGAGATGTAAGGCCATCCAACAAAAAAAAATTAAAAAGAACTTTACACTGGCAAAATTTTTCCATCGTAAACTTCTAACGTGGACGTTCCCGAATAGAATCCTCCTCCATACACCCAAACCATTACAGCGAGTCTTTTATTTGGATCTACCTACAAAGTCTTTTATATTCATGCCTTTCCAGCGAATGTAAGTCATTCTGATAAAAAAAAACAGAAACTCACTTTCCCAGGGATAAACACATTTAAATAAAGGCAATCTTCGGACGTTGGAGTGTTGGCGTTCCACATAGTCGCCCCAGAAAAATTTCCGAAGGCCGTATCGAAATTCTGTGTATGTGAGTATAGCGTTATTTGTAGAAATGTAGGTGCTGGTAAGCCATGGCGCTCTATGAAAGAACATATTGTAATAGCTAAACTTGAGGTTTGTTTTTGCTTATTTGCCGACTACACAAAGCACGATTCAAGCAAAGACTCGACGTTTGCGGCTGTACTGCGCTCTGGTACCGATACTACAGTGCGTACCAAAAGTATGTGGACACCCTGGGAATCGATTCTCAGGGGTCAGCTAAAGGCTTTTATGTCATGAAACCTCCACCATTCAACTCCTAGTGGTCGATAACCTACAATGATATTTTCGGCAAAAGATTTCGTTCTAACTTAGCGAACTATTTTTCATGGAAAGTTTTTTCTTTGTATCAAAATTATGTGGACACTTTTTGAAAAACGGCAATATCTTCAGAATCTGAAATCGGTAGGCCTACCAAAGTTTCTAGTAAGTTGAGCCATTCTGTTTGGCATGCTATGAACCGGGTCTGGATACATGTCTTGCAGATCTGTTCCCAACTAGCAAATTTCACCGACGTGTTAGGTCACTTGTGATATTACTCTTTTGTTCAATGACGTAGAGACCGCGAACCACGATACCTCTACGTTTTCAATAAGGATGAAGTCTGAGGAATACGCTAGCCGACTTGCCAATCAAAGCCGTTGCGTTTAGCATTTTTCCAAATGGAATGGTGTCAGGGACCTCCCCTGCAAAACAAGTGATTTGGCGCGACTGTAGAAACACCTCAGCTTTCTCTTCTGCATGTAAAATCTTTTAGACATACCCATTTTATAAGCGTAACCTTCGTGGTATGTTCCAGCTATAGATTGTATGTTCAGCATGATTAACAGAAATGGATCAACACTACTGTGTAAAAAATTTCAAAATGGCACTTAGCTCACCGAAATGTAACTGGGGTTCTGTATTACTATGGTAAAGATCAATTATTGATTGGGACTTCTTTGTCTTTGGGGTTTGAAATGTAACAAAACTTGAAATCTGAGATCCCCTTGCCAACTTTAATTCTCATTTCAACAATATATAATAACAAAATTCAGAGCGCACTTTTATTCGGTATATTGCTCGAATCAAAAAATTTTTAGAAGAACCACTTTGAGGAGTAATTCTGCCCAGTGTAGGGAGAGTTTAGCGCGCACTAGTAATCCCGTTGGAACCATTTGAAACTTTTCGCGACCCTCCCACCCATCCCCTTTTCCGGGGTCTTAATGCGACCCCCTATGGACGTGTATGTATATTGACATGACGCAATCATGTTTTGAATGTCATGAAACCCGCGCAACAATACAGCGCGTTTTCCTGATCGGGAACAGGTAAGGAACTGATAACATGGACTTACTGAACCTTGAACGAGTATTTCTTTGTGAAAATTCAGGTACTTGAAAAGTTGAGGTAGATTTGGAATTGACAACACTTCGCTTTCTAGCAGCTGCTCAGTTTCTCTTGATGCCATGTGAAGTTTTAAAGGCACGAGTCGGGATTGAATTGATGCGTTATTTTGTTCAAATTAGGCAAGGGGTGCAATGAGGAACATTAGTGAGGAGAAAAAGCAAAAAGCACCATAGAAAACACTAAATTTCCCTTAGGAGGCCGGCCGTAGTACGACGGAGAGACACAGCGCTGCGAGGAGAGGGAGAACGCGAGATAGTACGTCGTACGCGAGAGGACGCAGAGACTGCCGTGGTGGATTACGCTGGCAGCGCGGGCAGCGCGGCGGGCAAGGCCTTAGCGCCATTGCCGCGCACTTTTGGGTCGCGATAGTGTCGCGCCCTCAGTGCTTGGGAGCCCACTATCGCACCCTGGAAGAAACTTCGTGGCTT